AGCCCTGCGGGAGGCCCGCCCGCCCCGCTCCGCTAGGCCTTCTTGCACTTGCCCTTCTTCTCGCGCTGCTGGAACTTGCGCAGCCGCCGCGCCCACGTGTCCCGCCACTGGATCACCAGGCTGCTCTTGTCCGCCACGATGCCGCTCTGGTCCGGCGAGTCCTCCGCGTTGCCCAGCAGCAGGTACTTCTTGAGGGGCTTGATTTTCGGGCACTTGCAAGCGATGTCCCGCGAGCGGATCCACAGGCTCTGGTCACCGCGCCGAATGCGGCTGGTGCCCTGCTTGTACACGGAGATGATGTTCACCGTGAACTTCCACCAGTCCCCCGCCTTGTCTGCCTTCAGGATGTGGATCTGGACGGCTGCAAGGAAGCACAGGCAGGCGGTGGGCCACAGGACCCGGGTGCCGCCCGTGTCCCCAGCTCCTTGGCCAGGTCGGCCCTGTCTGCCTGTTCCCTCTCCGAGGCTGACAGTGGGGCAGCCTAGCTGACGGAGCTGGGAAGTGACTGCACAGGGTGTCCCACGGGATGGGTGAATGGTGGCCAGGAGGAGGAACCCCACCTCCTGACACCTGGGCCGGGGCCACCGCTTCAGAAGCCTTACCTCATGCCTATTTTGAAGTGCACCCAGCACTGCCTTTGGGGACAAGCCCCCTCTTAGGTTCTTAGGGTCCAGGAAGGCAAGAAGAAACCTACGGGAATTGACCCGGCGCCCAGCACTCTGGGTAGAGTCCATCTGCCCAGGGCAGGTGCCTTCAGAGCAGTGCTGGATGGACAGGATACAGGACTTCCTCAGGTGGGCGCCCCTAGGCATTTTCAAAGGCCCCAACCACTTAACACCAAGCCTCCTGACACCTCCAGACACACAACTTTGCCCTTGACCCTGAGAAAATCATAATGGGATCTCAGTGCCCAGGTGCAGTGCACCCCGAACCTGCCCTTCAAGGTGCCCACAGCACCTCTTCCAGAGTCCACGGTTCCTGTAGTGCCCACTTCACATCCCTGCCAGGCTGCCCTCCCTACCACCCTCACCTCTCAAATTCGCCAGGTCACTCCTCTTCCAATTCTCTGCTCTTTCCCCTACTGTAGGAGTCTTCGAATCAAAGGACTTGTCAAAACATGAGTATCTAATTCAGCAGATCTGGGGTAGGGGGGAGAAGCAGCATTTCTCACAAATTCCCAAGTGCTGCTGAAGCTGCTGATCCAGAGAACACACTGAAAATCAGTGCCCTAGCCAATGTCACCAAATGTTATTTTTGCAGAATATTAAGAGGTTTTTTAAAAATAGGAGAATATACTTTAAAACAAAAAGAGGGAAAATGTTGCTCAAATATATTTTTCAAATACTAGCTTAAAGTCAAGAGATTTCCTTACTGCAGGACTTTTCAGAGCCTTTAATCTAAAAATTGTGTGTGTTTACACGTGCACATGCGCACATGCATGTGTTGATTTCCCAAACAACCCTGACTGCAGAGCCTCTTGCTTGGTGCATTTCAGCCACCAGAGCCCCATAGGGCCTACTTGGAGAACTGCTGATGGAGGGATACATATTCGCTCCCCCCAGTCCAAGGGATAAATGGAGAGGCCTCTGCCACAATGACCTCCATTCATGGACTCAGATCCCAGTCTAGAGGGTCCAGGGAGACTAAAGGAAGTCTATAGGAACTGACCACACCCCAGCTCTCTGGGCCAGGTCCAACTGCCCAGGGCCATATTCCCCATGCCCTTGGTCAGAATGGGGCACCTTCCCCTTGCTGAGCCCACCCAGAATACCCTGTACCCTTCACCCCTGGACCAGGTTGAAGACTACCCTGGCAGCTGAGTGGACTTGAGCCCTCCTGAGAAAGGAGCAGCAGTTTGTCCCTCCATATTACAGGTAAAGAAACTGAGTCACAGCAGGCTCAGGGGCTTCAGCAACCAGGAGGATGTGTCCCTGGGGAATGCCTAGGGGTCACCACCTGCCCACTTACAGCTCCAGGCACTGGGCCCACCCACAGTTCAGCCTGGCCTCCCTTGCTGGCTGACTTCTCTCAAGGATTCTGTGGGCCACTCTGCCACCTTCACTCCCAGGGCCCTTCCTGTGCCCGGGGTGGTAGGGAGGGGCAGGGATGGCTGGGCCCAGGAAAGCATCAAACACCATCCAACTCATCCTTCTGGATGAGGGAAGTTGCAGATTTTCCCATATTTTCAGTTCAGCTGTTCCTGGGCATCCTGAACTTTGCACTCCAGTCTGAGGGCTCCAAAGAATGGCTGCCATGGCAACCGTTTCCATGTTTTTGTCACCAAGGGACTCAACACTCAGTGTGAACTCTAATGGGGGGCAGGGAACCCTCCAGCCCAAGAGAAGTGGCTGGGTTGTGTGTGTTTGACTGTGCAGAGAGAGGTCACCGTGGCAACTGAGTGCCCCTTAGCTAAGCAACGGGGAGCGCCCCCCCTCCTTCCCTGAGAGCCCTGGTTTCCTCTCCTCGGGACTGAGCTGAATACTGAATGAGCCTCCCTCAGGACGTGGCGGTTCCCCTGGATGGGACCACAGATGCCCCGCCAGCCAGTCTCCCCAGCCAGGGAGGGCCGGGGGGTCTGATAAGGATGCTACAGAAGGCAGCTCTGGCTGGGGCCGCTGGAGAATTTCGCATGATCCTAGGCCCGGAGCATCTATTGGTGTTACACGCTGAACTGATGCCCAGATTCATATGTTGAAGTCCTAACTCCCAGGACCTCAGAAGGTGGCCATATTTGGAAATGGGGTCTTTAAAGGGGCGATTAAGTTACAATGAAGTTACTGGAGTGGGCCCCAATCCAATATGACTGCTGCCCTCATAAGAGGAAACTGGGGCACAGACACACACAGAGCCACCTGCAAGCTCAGGAGAGAGGCCTCAGAAGAAACCAACCCTGCTGACACCTTGATCTAGTGCTTCCAACCTCTGGAACTGTGAGAAAATAAATGTCTGTTGTTTAAGCCCCCGCCTGTGGTGCCTCGTCCTGGCAGCCCCAGCAACTAGAATCAGTGACTCTCCAAGATGCTGGGCCTCAGCTGCGGGCCAGGTGGGAAGCAGGCCTGAGGGTCCCCATCCGTTCTGAGGACTGGCTGGACAGGGCCAGGTCTTCCTATTCCCTGGACTCCAAAGAACATGGCCCTTCACAGGAGGGCCTGAAGCTGGCCCCACCTTCCCTGATCTGAATCCCCCACCCTGGGAAAGCCCTGATCACCAGGCAGGGCTTCCAGAGCATCCCCACACACACTGCCCCAGGAGCCACCAGCATGGGCCTGAAGGGCCTCCACTTAACACTGAGGACACAGCCTGAGGGGTACCCTTCCCTGGAAACCTCGCTATTCTAGAGAATCCAGGCGTCAAAGCAGGGGACACCGGTCAACTGGGACAAAGCGCTGGCCCTTGTGCCCCTCCCACCCTAGCAGCTCCTGGCAGCTCCCTCACCATGGGGTGAGACAGCACAGACCCAGGGCAGGGGCTGGGGAGGGTGGTGGTAGGATTCGTGTGATTATACTGGAAAAAATCCACATTTCCGCTGCCCTTGGCAACGCCTCCGCACATTACACAGCCCACCAAGTATGAGCTGCACACGCAGTGCACGGGCCAAGTCCCCGCAGTGCACATACAGCTGAAAATATTCAAAATACACACTGAAGCGGTGACCTCAGGCAGAGCTGCTCAGCACGCTCCCGGCGCACTCAGCCCGGCACAGCATGGCACTGCCCGGCACAGCACCAAGGCTGCTGCCACCTCCGACAGCCCTGCTGCTGGGAGCTGGGAATGACCACGGTCTCCTGGGGGCTGTGCATCACCCGACCGGGGCTGGGCACAGTGACCTCGGCAGCTCTGCCCATCCCAGGACCATGGCTCCGAGGGCGGGCCCCTTACACCCACACAACAGTCACTCCAGGCCAATTAGTCTCAGACCTTAGGACGCCTCAGCCCCCTTGAACTGAGGTCTTAAATTGACCCCAATGAGACTAGAGCATGGGACATGGAGAGAAGCCCCCCACCCTGTATTCAGAATTGAGGGAGGTGAGATGACCCTCACGAAGGCCGGCGGTGAGACTAGAAGAAGATAGTAAGAGGTGCACTGAGACCCCTTAAACCAGAGACTGGTCTGCAGGAAAAAGGACGCAGCTGGAAGGCAGAGGAGCCCTTCCCTGAAGCAGGGACAAGGGAGTGGCTGAGGCAGACGCTGGCCAGAAAGGTAGCCTGGACCCAGCCTCAGAGATAAGTGGTCCCATCTCAGGGTCCACACCTCGAATGCCCCGCACAGAAAACGAGGGCTCGGGCTGGGCGACTGCTGCAAATGCCCCATGGAGCTCTGCTCTCAGCGCAGACAAAAGCGGACACTGGGGTGCGAACCGGAGCCCACAAAGTGGGATGGATGAGGCTGGCTCCAGAAAACCCCACGCAGCCGTGGCACCTAGGGGTGCCCCCAACAAGCTGTGGAGGAAGCGGGTCTGCAGGAGGGAACAGACATCCATGGAAAAGTGAGGTGGAAGGGAGCAGGCCCCAGGGAGCAAGGCCTGCAGGTCCCAGGGGCCAGGCTGCACTTGCCTCTTGGCCTTGGAGGCCCTGAGCTGCCTGTACCTGTGTAGCCAACACCCCTTTCCTGGCCAGCGCGGAGCTGTTAGCAAGACCGCAGGCAGCCAGAGCAGCAGCCACCCCCCAGTAATTCCGGGGCTCACAGGAAGGCCTTTCATGCAAGTGACCCTTCTTGGCCACTGGGCAAGGCTGTGAGGACTGACTGCCCTGCTCTGCTCAAGCCTGCCACTTGGACTGGCAGAGGCACATGCCTCTGTCCCTCAGCAGAAGCCTGCGCTTGGCTCTGGAGGGATGCTGTGACCCCAAGGGAACAAGGAGGGGACTGAGGGCCAGGCCCATGGAGGCCAATCAGTAAGAAGAGCTTGTGCCGGAGCTGGGCTGGTTCTGGCCGAGGGGCAGGGGACTAGGAGGCAGGCACCGGGCAGACCGGGGGCCTGGCCCAGCCCTGGGGTCCTCTCAGCTGCTGTCCCCGGCCCAGTGCCAGGCACCTGTGTGTCCTTCCAGAGGAGCAGACCTCTGGCTATCTTGCCCAGGGTGCCTCAACCTCTACAGACTCCCACGCTGGGAAATTTTCAGGCCATCAAAGGCAATCTGAGAAGTGGGAAGCTCTAGGACCCTTCCTGTGCTCGGATTCCTCCGGAGTGGGGCGCGCTCCCCGTCCTCCACGCCGTTCATTCAAAGCCTGCCGCTCTCCCTCCCAGCGCCAGCCCTGGCCCAGGAGACCTGGAGCCATCAGCACTGGGCCCTCTGAGGACCTGGCATTGCCACCACCTCGGACAGTCAGTGGCAGGAGGCAGCTTCCAGCTGACTGATGCTCCC